AAGGAGAAAATAAACAGAAGACAATTTTACTCATATGTGCAATCAAGGGAAGAGACAATGTCAAACAAAAACCTTTAGACTCTAGCTACAGTATAGAGGCTAACTAATGTGACTGCTGTGAGGGAAATAGCGAAAGGATTCAATAGATTTTTAGGGTGATGTAGTTAATCCTGTACTCCAAAATATATAAACATTTACACTTTGTAAACCAATGTTGCCTCATTAAAAATAAAAAACTGAAACTATTTAAATTGAAATATTCAATATATGGTGAAGGACAGAATTGGACTTTTGAGTGATAAACTTAATACAGCACATAGTACATGCTGATTTTCTATAATGGACACCTGAAACAATACAATGTCGTTTGAAGAAAACAAAAAGCTCTGATATATATCCTCAATGAAATACTGTTCTCCATTAAAAAAGAAAAAAATTGTACCACTTGGGCCACAATGGATATAATTTCAGATATTCACACTAAGCAGAATAAAGTCAATTATCAAATGGTTTCACTCATGTACAATATAAAACCAAAAAACTCAATTATGTGCATGAGAAACCATTAACAGTATTATAAGTCACAAAAATCGCAATAAAAATGTAAACAAATGACATATTTCTACGAAGTAAAAAATCTTACTTAGAATAGGAGGAACCTGGGTTGGTGGGTACAGCTCAGGGGTATACCCAGCACCAGAGTCCCACACCCAGCAGCATCCGAGTATAGCCCTGGAGACTCTCAGCACTACTGGCATGGTACTACAAGGCTGAGAAAACTACATTCTCACGTTTTAGCGCTGAATGACCCGGCCTGGTCCGCCAAGTATTGCTAGGAGTGATTCTTAGGATCTGAGCACTGCTTGCCCCACACCCAATGAAATACATATTCTGTTCTCTTTGCATTTAATGTTCCAGGCACTAAATGGTTATGAATTTGAACTTGTGTTTCCCTGTCCCTGCTACTAAGAATTTGTGATTCTGAGAGAATGTAATATGATGAAATTAACATATTCCCAGAAATCCTTACTCATGATTTGAACAAGTTGTCCTAAACTAGTAATTATCAGAATGTGAACCCCAAACCTGGTAGTGTATTGAGAGACTTGTTTGAATAGCAAATTTTGGGGTGTCTCCCCAGACCTGCTGAATTAGAAAGTGTGGATGGGAACTAGCAATACATATTTCAATAGGCCCTTGAAAAGATAGGGAGATAGCTTAGAGGGATGGATAGCAAGACATGCAAGCACAATGCTCTGAGTCTGATGCCTGGTGCACATGTCTCTTCACCCTCAATCACTGGGTATAAGCCACTGGGTATAAGCCTGATGGCCTCCAAGCACTGCTGGGGAGGCCGCTATCATTAAAAACAAGTTCCTTGATACGATTCTAAAATAAAGTTTCAGAACCACAGAAAATTCACCAAAACAATACAAAATTTAGGATTTGAGGAAAAGGGTAGACTGAATTAAAGATAATTTTTCATATACTATTAAAACAGTGCTTTTATGTTTCCATAAGGGTCAGATTTCCAGAAGTGGAATTGGTAGGGTCAAAGCATATGTAGATTTTTAATGAGATAATTTTCTCAAAAGGATCAAAAAGTCGGAGTTGGATAGCACAGGGGGTATACTTGCCTTGCATGTAGACAACAAACCAATCCATTGCACCTAATATGGATCCTGTGCACTTCCAGTGATTCCCTGCATAATTCTGAGTGTGGCCCCCAAACCAAAGAAGCGTGAATAATTTCACAATTCTATCAGCAATATATGAGCAATCCTTTCTCCATCAGTACATTTAACTAGAGCATCGCTGTTGTTTAATATGAAATTCCTAAGTATAAATAAGTTCATTTTTGCTGACTGCTGAAGGGTCTAATATTTTTTCTTTGCCAACATTTCTACTAGGATGTTTCCCCCATTTACTGTTAAGGACTTTTATATAGGGTTATCTTCAAAATCCTAGTACATTTTAAAAGATTTTTTTTCTTTTTGAGTCATACCCAGTGCACTCGGGCTGGCGCAATAGCACAGCAGGTAGGGCGTTTGCCTTGCATGCGGCCGACCTGGGTTCGATTCCTTCACCCCTCTCGGAGAGCCCAGCAAGCAACCGAGAGTATCTCACCCACACGGCAAAGCCTGGCAAGCTACTTGTGACGTATTTGATATGCCAAAAAAAAAAAACAGTAATAAGTCTCACAATCTGAATGAGATGTTACTGGTGCCTGCTCGAGCAAATCGATAAACAACGGGAGAACAGTGCTATAGGACACAGTGTACTTAGGAATTCCTCCTGGTGGTTGTGTGGGTGACCATATGAGATGCCAGGGGATCAAATCCTGGGCGGCAGCCTGCAATGCCATACCACTGTGCTATCACTCCAGCCCTACTACTTTAAGCTTTAATAACAAGTATCATTGCTGTACAATCACAAAGAAAAAGCTGAAAAATAATCTAAACTACTGTACTGCTTTTATTATTTCTTGTACTTCTGGGAGCATAAAACGTGCAATTGTCTTTTAGGTTCTTTACTATTTCCTCATAATTCAAGGACTTCCTATATTTCTTTATTTTCCAAGAATCAGTTTTTTGTTATTTTTAATTTTAATGGTTAACCAAAGAATATCATCTATAAAATTTCTCTACCTTTTAAGTTCTGCTTTCATTTTTGTGGTTAAGTAGATAAGACAGCCAGATTTTATTTTAGTTGTTTCATGGCAGTCAATGTCTAGTCAAACAATGTAAGGCTCCCACTATATATTCAATTATGCTTAAGATGAAAATAGGACTGAAAATGTGAAGGCTATGGCCAAGTAGATAGCACAGACGGCTGGGGAGCATGCTTTGCTGGTACCACAGCACCAGGAGTAGCCCTTGGGAACCATGGGGTATCGCCCTAAACTCAAAAAAAGGATAAAATTAAAGAGTGAGAGAAAAACAGGCTGGGAACAACAAAATTTACTGCCCAAAGCCCCCCCACTCCCCCAAAAAACCCCACAAGCTTATTGATTCCATTATTTAATTCCCAAAAGTTGTATATATAAACACACACACACAAACAGCTTATTTTGGTTTGGGGGCAATACCTGGAAGAGCTCAGGGATCACTCCTGGCACGGTTCAGGTACCAGGGATCAAACTGAGTCAGCCATGTGCAAAGCAAGCACCTTTTCCACTGTATTACTTCTCAAGCCCATGTTACTGATTTTTTTTATCTACAACCATGTTACGCTAAGTGTGGTTATAAGATGTTAAAAATTCATGACAATGGAAAGCAAGTGCTTGGAAACGTTTACATCAATTTGAGATTGCAGCAGCATTCATAGTGTATGATCAGTACGTTTGTCACACTAACTGGTACGGACCAACTTGGGCATTTTTCAATCATGCTGCACGATTACTTTGCGTAGTAGGACCATATTATAACTTGTGACATTTTAAGATAGACACCTATAAGTAAAAAATGTGTAATACACAGGAACTGTTTCACTGAAAAGTGAAATAACTCTAAGAATTGCTGAAATTTCTTTCATTCTTTTTTTGGTGGCAACTCTAAAAATGCTTTGGAGCCAGAGTTCCACCTAGTAACGCTGAGAGTAGGGGGTGGAGACATGTACCATGAGGAAACCATGTGCCATCCCTGATCATACTCCATGTAGTCTCTGGGATAAAACTTGGAGCCTCATATGGAAGGCCCTTTGAGTTATCACCCAAGTCCTAAAATTTCTTTAAAGATGTCTTCCTCAGGATTTGATCCTTGGTCTCCCAAGCACTGCCAGGAATATTTCTTGAGTGGAGAGCCAGGAATAACCCCTTACATTGCCTGGCATGCCCCTGCCACTCCCCACTCCAAAGTCTTCTGATATTTCTCCCCAGTCCTGAAATTTCTTTTAAAATACCTTTTCCTTTCTTTGCCAATGCAGTTTTAAAGACTGGTTTCTCTTCAAAACAGAACTTATCCCACATGAATAGTAGTGTGTGTAGTCAACTTAACTTAGATTAGATAAATGAACAAGAAGCAAGTTTGTTACATAAAATCATAAAAGGCACATTCCATTTGGAATCATTCACATTCCAACTTAGGAAGTGTAATTCTTTTACCTTATGGGGGGTCCCTCCTCCATTTGCCATATTCCCTAAATAAAACTACTTAAAAAAACTATAAACATTTATCATGTATATTTTAATACACGAAACATACATAATACTATTATGGGGGAGTAACTATTGTTGGAAGACAAAAAGCTAGAAAAAGAACAATATTCTATATATTGCCTATGAGCTTATGGTTTGTAAATTCCTCTTTCCTTTCGTTGTTTGGTCTGATTATATTAGGGAACACGCACTTTCCTGTCTGCTAAACAACAAATTTATGTCGTTTAGACCAAGTATTTGGTGTGTTTTAATGTGCTTTAGCGTAATCAAAATGTCCCAGGTTTTAATGGGACAATTTACTCCATTCACATTTAGTAGAATAACAGCCATATCTTATTCTTTCCATCTTATTCTTATTGTGATGTCCTTTTCTCTACGTAACATTTTGCTGGGTTGGTGTAGATTCCATTTTTCTACGTTTCCCTTATTCATTTTTTAAGTTTTACTGTACTCTTCCACTTTATCATTCATTTCCCTGATTTCATAATTATATGAAATGACACATAAGAATTTTGTCTAGGAACGCAAACTATTTTCTCCAATTAGGACCTATACTTCCTATCTGTATACTAGTTTTATTGTGCTGTTGTCTCAGGGCCGCACCTGGCTATGCTTAGGGGATACTCCTGGCTGGCTTAGCTCTCGGGGTTGATCCTCAGGGTGCTCGGGGGAACATGGAATGCTATGAATTGAACTCAGGGTCCCACACATGCAAGACAAGAGCTCTAACAGTGACACACATCCCTGGCCCTAGTCTTATCACATAATAATGTAGCTACACCTTGCATTAAGTTTTGCTATAACAAAGCTTTACAGAATACCCAAAACTCTAAATAAAACATACCTCCAGGAGCTAAGGCACCAGGTCCTGCTACAGCAGCTGGCATTTGCCCTGGTGGTGGAACTCCAGCCTGCATAGAAGCTTGCATCAAAGGAGGGGCACCATTGACATGCATTCCACCCTGACCAAAAGAAAAACCAGATTATGAATGTGTCTTTGTGGGGATGCAATACACAAAGTCTATGACCTCAAAAAACTTTTCAAATTGACACCCCTAAATATCCACTTTATATGCAACCGTCTAAATGGAAGTTACAACACACACAATGAAACTGGTTATACAAAATATGGTTAAGACAGACTACACTCTAAAGAAACTGATTAAGTTTTACTTGTGTTGTAAAGTCATATGTAATATTAGTTGACTTCATGACTGGTAATCACAATTTTTTTAAAAAAAGGAGAATGCCTTACACAACCTGAGAACTCCTCTATAGAACTAAGCTTACCACAGCTGGGGATAGGGAGCAGTGGTGGTGATGGTGGTGGTGGTGGTGGTGGGGACACTGAGATAATGATGGAGGGAAGCAGATACTTTGGTGGAGGGTGTGATGCCAGAAAGCTGTACACATAAAACCCTATGATGAACAGTATCGTAAATCATGGTGCCTCAGATAAAATTAAAAATAAAACAAACTAAAGAAAACAACCATGTTAAAAAAAAAAGGACTTTTGTTAAAAAAGTGTTGGCAATTCACATTTTAAGATGAAAAATTCTTTAATTTTACAAACCATCTTTTCAAATCCTTTTCCTCAAATATAACTTTGATTTGAGAGAAACGTAAATTTCTTTATGTTTTCATTAAGCTCCTGTAAAGAAAGGTACCATTTTTCCCCTTTCTGTGTATTCCCCAGAGAACTGAGCAGTCCCCTGTAACAGAAAGAGCTCAATAAGAAATTCAAGTTATTTTTTTAAAGAATCACATAAAAGGGCCAGGGATATGACTCAAGAGGTGAAAAAAGCACATACCTGGCATGTGAGAGACCCTGAGTTCGATACCTAGCACCACATTGTGCCCTAAACACGAGCAGATGTTTGTGCCTGGAGCTCTAGGCACTGCAGCACCGGCTCAATTACTGAACCATCAGGCCTACACTGCCAGCTGCATATGGCTGGAAGTAGACCCTGGGTCCCCAGCACTGTTAGGGGTAGCCCCTATAAAAACATCACATATATTCTCAGAAAACACAAACTCTAAAACAGAAGAGAAAACTGTACAGTAAACTGGTTAGGAGAAAACAGGCTATGACGCCAGACAAAATCAGGTTCAGATCCCAGGTTTACCACTTAGAATGTTACTTTTGGATGAGTTACTATCTCTGGTGCTTATTTGCCTTCTATTTTTAAAAAAGCATTTAATGTATTAGAGCCAGGATATGCAAATGCCCACTGACCGAATCCAGTTCATGTATTGATTTCATAACATATATATAACCATGCATATTTATGTACTATCTATGGCTAATTCCATACTCCAATTGCAGAGTTGAGCAGTTAATATAAATCCCATTGCCTGAAAAGATAAAAATACTATTTCCCCATTTACAGGCAATATTTGCCAAATTCTACTCTATTTCTAACAATCTGATACGCAAAAATGGTAGCATGGGGGCCAAAGAGATAGTTGAGGTAGTAACACATTTTCATTGCACATGGCCAACCTGGTTTCAACCTCCAACACTCCATATGGTCCAAACTACCAGGAGAGATCCCTGATCACAGAACAAAGAGTAAATGCTGAGCACCACCTGGTGTGCACCAAAAGCAAAACAAAAAGTAGCTTATTATACTGTTTATATGAGATTGATCTTTTTTCCCGTATGCTTAATGTACATTTGCACGTCTACTTTCTGAACTGCTTATGATCGTACCCCTTTCCACTGGGTTACTGGAAATAGAAACATTCTAACTTATAGGCATTTATAATTATAAAATATTACAAATTTATACTTTAGAGAATCAAAAAAACAGTTTAGGAAACAATTATGCGAAATAACTGAAATGTTCTTTGCAAACTGGAACTTGTACTCTCTTTAAACAACCACTTAAGAATTCATACAGATGATTCACAATTTTATGCAACCCATTACATACTTACATACTCACTGAATGTATTTTTTCACAACTCAATCAAGATGTTTTTTCCTTGGAGGGTTCCATACCCAGTAGTGCTCAGGGTATGCAAAAAGTGTACTCCAGCCCTTTGAGCCATCTCCTGGCCCTCACTTAAAATATTTTGGGGACATATATAGACACATATCTCATATTTGTAGAATAATTCCACATTCACTTATCTTCACTTTAGTATGGCATTATTTTGTGGTATCTGTGTTGGTATCAGTTCATATTAATGGTATTTTTATTAAAGCAATTCATATTGATTCATATACCTTAACTGCCATGTGCCACATTTTTCCATTAGCTTGTTTACATTCATTTTAGAATTCTCTATTTTTCATTACATTTTGACATAATGTAAACCAATTACACTTATTAATCAAATAGATTGATTTATTAATCATTCTACTTTCTACTTCTAGTGTTACAAATATTTGTTTCCCAAATTTTTGTCTATGGTGTTCATTTTCTCCACAATAAAACTTTTCAGGTTTGAAACATATTTCTTATGAATTCAGAGTTCTTTGTCACACTTGGAAAGCAAAGCTTTTCTTTTCTCATCAGTAAGAATTACGATGCCAGGAGGGCTGATCCCATGTAACTACTGTATTAAATAACATACATGAAGATGAGAGTATATGGACTAACCAAGTGACAATTACAGTGCCACACATGCAAACACAGACAAAATTAGCTAATGATATAAGGCACACAAGAATCTCTGTTTCAAAAACTTAGAACTAAATCTATATTCAGATACCATGTACTCTGGAACCTGGAAACTGCAATTAATATCTCTGGCTCCCGACCACTCTTCTTTCGACATATCCTCCTAAAATGAGAATAAACAATATTCTAAGATGTTAAAAAAAAAATTAACGAATAAAGTCCTACCAAAGACTGGGCCTGAGAGACCTGAGAATTCTGCTGGTTCATTTGCACACTGGCTCCTGAAACAGGTCCAGCATTGTGAACTGCTTGAGGGTTGCCTGCAATCAGTGTTGGAATATTTGTCTGGCGATGCAGAATTTTCTAAAAATTAAAAGATAAATCTATGAGTCTTCTAACAAAGCAATTAGAAAATCCCTATTCCATGCAACGCTTACACTAGCATTTTCACAAATATTCATTACCAGAAGCACTCACCAGCGCAATCTCTGGATCCACAATTCTCATCACTACCTGTGCTTGCAGCAAAGCATAAGCCAATTGAGGATTCTGAAGCAACATGTTCCTTGCTTCCTGGGGACTATTCTGGACACACAGCTGAGAACAAAGGCAGATTTACCCTTAGGTCAATAATTATTAATTAGTAACTGACAGTGCTCTAGAGTCATTCAAGAAATATACTATTCAAGAAATTTTAAAACTTAGCAATTGTTTTACCATAGCACACAAAACCTTGGTCATAGAGGACAACAAATATCAGTTAGGAAAAAAGTCACATTTTACTATCTACATTTGAATCTGTCTCACAGAACCCCAATCATATTAAGCTGTGTAGGTGTTTTGTGGACAAAATATTAGCTGGTGTTGAGTATAGAAGGTGTAAGAATGGGAGTCTAGGCATATATTCTACTTGACTCCAGGGAATAATTAATTCCCATTGATATTATCAATCAATTCCTTGAAAATCTGTTTAATTCATCAATACATTTGTAACGTAATGCCAGTTCCCACCTTCATTTGTTTCATCAGTTCAAACATCTGCTCTGGTGGAAGACTAGCCACCGCTTTGCTGATAGATTCAGGGGCATCCTCAGGATTAATACTCTCTCCATAAGGTGACTCAATCACAGGGGCCCCAGTGCCAAGGCCTAATCAAGAAGAAAATAAAAGAAAGTTAAGGAGGGAAAATAAAGAATTAAATTATTTCAAGTGCAATAGATCCTCAAAAAACCAATTTTGGTCAATGACAGTTTCCAAGTATTTATTAATGCTAAGTGAGAATTTACTGGATCCATTCCCAGGGCTGCTGTAAAGACCAACTGATAACTAATTCTTCTGGAGTAAAGTTATTCATGATTTGCATTACCTTTTAATTCAGTGGAGAAGTAACAAAGCCTATTATCTGCTTTCAGAATGAAGCACCATTCAGAATGAAGCACCATATCAGAACCAAGATCACATAGCAGGATGTTACCTAAGATGGGTGCTAGGCATTCAAATGTGCTTTGACAAATCATCTTAGAAGGAAAAGATTTAAAGGAAAAAAAAAGATACTAGTATCAAAATAAAATTCCAGGGACCTAGGAGATGGCTCAATGGCCTGATCATGGATTCAGGCCTGATTCCCAACACCACATGGTCCCCTGAATACTCCCAGCTACTCCACTAGGAGTAGTCCCTGAACAACTCCAGTTTACTTACACCCAGAGTATCACTAAGGTGTGGCCCAGGTAAAAAGCAGACCCAAAATATAAAAAATGAAATTTCAGATAACTACCTTATTAAAAAAGCATCAAAGCCTCCACCCCCCTTATAGAACTAGCAATGTAGACGAATGTAAGAGGCAAAACAAATGACATAGTAATACGAATTGTGGCCTTCATTTTTTAATAGCGACCTTATCTTGTTTCTCAAAGATATTCTCACACAAGCATCTCAGGTCGGTTTAGTAAAAGTGTATAGCTAACAATATCTTCAGATGCTAAAACACATCATAAATGAGGACCAGAGTGAAGTATAGCAGGTAGGGCACTTGCCTTGCCAGTGGCCAACCTGGTTTCAATCCCTGGCACCTCATGAGGTCCCAAGTCCTGACAATTATGCATGCCACCAAAGAAACCAACACCATAAATGAAAAAATCTTCACTGTGACATGTTTACTAACACATTTGTATACAACTTGGGTTTATACTCACTCTTTAGTTCTTCTTTGTTCTTTTCACTGGCAGCATTGTCCACTCTAAGTGCTCTCCCACTGAATTCACGCCCATTCAGGTTGCGCATGGCACTAAGTGCAGTCTCTTGGTCTTGGTATTCACAGAAGCCATAACCCTTTGGCTTTCCCGTTTCCCTGTCATATACCAACCTGGAGAGCAGAACCAAGTATGAGACACAAATGTTACGCAAAGAGTTCCTGCTAATAATGTCAACATGCCTTAATTTTGGTTCACTGTAAAACAAATACTATTTTAATAGTATCATATCATTTAAAAATATATTATTCTGATTGCCTCACTGAAAAACTTTTAAATTAAAAATGCATCTTTTAGTAAAAAGTAATGTACACTGGTATATAGGTTTAGATATATCTCAATAAAGGTGTTACAAATAAAAAAGAATGCACGTGTCAAGTCTCTGGTTAAAAACTGCCATTATCACTAAGTGTAAAATTTGTGATCTTAAAACAAACCACCAAGAAGTAAAAAGTAACTCTCACCTGAAACTAACAACAGGCCCAACTTCAGAAAAGATGTCTTTTAATTGCTCCTCTGTAGCTTCATAGGGAATATTCCCCACTATAGGAGAAAATAAATAATATTAGAATTTTCAGTTTACTGCAGATCTTTGGTGAAAAAGAAAAACAGTTTGTACGATGCATCAATTTGTATCACTGACAAACCAACAACTGGCACAAATAACATGTGTTTCTCCAATCCTAGTTCCATGTACTCCGGCAGATAATATTTAAATCTTATTTGCCAGACTGAATGACAAAACAAACCACTGAGCCTGAATACAAATGGGCAGGCATGGCTAAACAGAGAGCAAATCAAAGATCCCTAGACTCCATATTCTTTTTGATGGTGAAAGGGCAGAGAAATAAGCATCTTGATTGGCAATTTCTGGAACCATCTTATCTGGGAATTGTTATATTTTCCTTAACATTGGTGAAAATAAATAAATACTTTGGCATTATTATTTACATAAAAGCCAGCAAACTATCAACAGGAATTTTCTTAAACTCAGCTCACGGGTTTGTACTTTCACATAGACACTCAAAGGTGATTTATCATGAACGAAGGACAAGATCTTTAAAAAATGATCCTGAACTGCTTGGTCACGTCAATTTAAAAGGCTACTTTGTGTATTACTTTTTTTTGAGGGGGGGAGGAGGCACATTCGGCGGCACTCAAGGAGCCACTCCTAGCGGGGGCCGTCTGTGGCAAAGGATCGAATCCTAAGTGAGGAGCAAGCAAGGGAATCTTCGAACCCGTCTTTCCGGCCTCTAACAAGCTGCTTTAAAACTGCCACACGTGATTTAAAAATAAACGACTTATTTCGGCTGAAAAGATAAGAGATTCGGTCCTCTAAAAAATTTGTGACACGGTCTTATTCATTCACTTATAATCTCCCTCAAGACGCCAGGGAGCGGCTACAGCTAACGGACGTTCGGCATGGAGGAGGGGGGCAAAAAATCCCCAGTTGCCGCGAGCCCTTAATTTCTACACAGTGATCCAAACGAGAGGAGAAACGTCGAGAAACTGAGCTCAAACATCCTCATTAATCACAATGTAAAAAGACAGAAATTTCGAGGAGGCTCACGGAGCAACGAGCCCACCAGGTAGATGGCCGCCCTGCCCCTCCCCCCGCTCCACGCTTATCCGCCATAGGCGGGTAGCGCAGTTCGCCGGACTCGGCAGAGTCGCGAGGCACAAAACGCCGTTTCACGTAGCTCCCTACTTCTCCCAATCCCTCCCCAGTATCATCCTTGTTTGGATCCACCGACTCTTCTCACCGAATACTGAACGAAGAGAACGATCCACCGCAGGGTCTCTGACCGGCAAACCCGCCATCGTCGTCTTCCAACGGCTTCCGGCGTGCTGCCGCACACTTCCGAGAGGTGCGTAAGACTAAGTTTGGTACGCGCGTGCGCAGAAGCTCGGGGGCGGGGCGGGTAGACGCAGGTTCCGCCTCCCCGACGTCATTGCGTCAGAACCCAGCGTCGGTTACGTCCCCACGCCGCTTAACCCCTTCGAATGGGGCCGCTGTCAAAGCACTCACTATTTCAAATCAGATTTGTGCGGGCCCGGGCTATTTTGTAGGCTTTCAGTACGTAAAATTCCTTTACAAGCATTTTCTCTTAGACTGAAAGCAAGTTGTCTTCGATGACAACAAACATGGTGGCTGCGCCGTTACCATGAAAACAGATACTCGTTAACCGTGACCTAGCGTTTTAGTTCCCGCCCCGTTTGTCAGGGAAATGTTTGGCTCCTCCCCAAGCCGCGGGCATATCATTTTGCAAAAACTGTGAGCTACAGAATAAAATGTTCAGAGTCGTAGCAGTTTAGGGTATGAACCAAAGAACAACAAAGCACATACGTAATTGAGATAATGGGAGGTATATGGAGAGCAAATCAGAGGTCCCTAGACTCGATACTCTTTTAGAAGGTGAAGGAGTGGGGCGAAAAGCACCTTGATTGGCAGTTTCTGGAACCATCTGAACAACAACAAAAAAAAACATTGATTTACGGTAGTATCTAAAGCGTGATTTTAAGTTCTGTTTCTCTGATTCAAGACAATGAATGATAGAGGTTTGTATTAACTGCTTCACAGTTTAACAGTGACTATAAATGGCTTGGCGTATTACCATGATTTATTGATTTTTTTTTCTCTTGGGTTTTTTTTTGTTTTTGCTGTTTGGGCTCACACCCGGTAATGTTCAGGAGTTACTCCTGAGTCTGAACTCAGGAATTACACCTGGCGGTGCTCGGGGAACTGTATGTATGCGTGGGTTGGAATCCGGGTTGGCTGTGTGCAAGGCACATGCCCTGCTCGCCGTTCTATTGCTCCGGCCCGAACAATTTTTGTCTTGTTTTCCAAGGTTCCCGATGGTGATTGGGCCCACCAAGTCTACTCTTTCCTGACCCTGCTACGAAGGCCACGCGGTGCCAGAAACCGAAACTGGAGCCCTGTCCATGTTCTCCAGGTCTTTTGTGTTATCTCCCTGGTCCCATATTACCTTTCATTTGTGGGAAGCCAGAGATGATTATGAGAGTCACCATAATAAGTCTAGTTAGGATCAGTCACCATACATAATTATTTTTCCTTGTGATTAGAACTTTTAGCATCTATTCTCATCAATTTTCTGTGGTGGGGCTGTGACTCCACACAAGATCCAAAGAATAGTTTGTAAAATCTCCAACCTGGGTTTTATAGGGACTTCTTTTATCCTTCTGTGTTAACCTCTGCAAGCACTAAGTCAGCCTTAAGAGGACACAGGAAAAGACATCAGTAATATTTTATTACAATGTAGTACTAATAACTATAGGTGCCTTGCTAGATATTAAATGTCCAAGAGTTTTTTATTTTAATTCTCCTTTTTGGTGGGGGTGGGGTGAGGTGGGGTTTAGGCCACAGATCTTGTGCTTAGGGCTTTCTCCTGTCTGTACTCAGGGATCACTCCTGGCTGCCGCCAGGGACCATGTGGGATGGCAAGATTCAGTCCTGATCAGCAACATGCAAGACAAGGACCAAACCCACTGTCATCTCTCTGGTCCTCAGATTCTTTATTTTATAAGTTGAAGTTTTGTACCTTTGACCACCTCTTGCTCACACTTGTGTGCTCTCTCTCTCTATCCCACATACACCAGCCCCTGCCTTTGCCAACAACATTCTTTTCTCTGTACCTAGAAGGCTTTTGATTTATTTTGGGTTGCACATATAAGTGAGAGTGTATGATACTTGTCTTTCTCTAACTTATTTCACTTAACATAATGCCTTAAAGGTCTATCCAGAGGCCGCATCAATTGTAGAGAGGGTAGGCTGCTTGCCTTGCATGCAGCCAATCCCAGGTTTCATCCCTAGCATCAGATTCCTCTTAATCCCCCAGGAGTGATCCCTGAAGACAGAGCTAGGAGTAAGCCCTGAGCACCATTCAGTGAGTCCAAAACCAAGTAACAAATAAATAAATACACAAAAGGTCTATCCATATTTTCACAGATGACAGCATTTCTTTCCTACTTATGGAAAACTAGCATTTTATTGTGCTACATTTTTATCCATTCATCCATTGATGGGTGCTTAGGTTGTCTCCATAAAGCATGGGGGGCACATATATTTTTTATGCATTAGTGTTCCTTGTCTACCAATTTACAGAAATCACTCAAGAAACAGATTTCTATTTATTTTTATAAAGAGGGATAAGAAAATATAACGACTTGTACAAAGTTACTTTATTAGGATAAAAGCTTTTTTATTCCAAATTTATGATATTTTATATTTTAAACACTTGGAGTGGGATGGAGAGATAACGCAGAGTAAGAACTTGTCCTTTATGCAGCCAACCATATGTGCTCCCACAGCCCTACCAGGAGTGATTCTTTAGCGCAGAACCAGTAATAACCCCTGAGAACAAAGGGGTCCCTCTTCAAAAATCTAATAGTTGAGGAAGTTACAACTGTGTTAAAATTGATAGTACAAATGCACAAAATTACTACAACTCTCTACCATAAAAATACATGACTATCACTGTCCCTACATCTTTCTTCACCTTTGGTCTTTTTTCTCTCCTCCCCCCACATCAAATTTAGTAATTGGTTCTTTATTCCAACACCAAGAGCTTTCATTATCCAACACTGTCCTCTTATTTTGACTGAATTCCACAGATGAGTAAGATTATTCAGTATTTCTCCATCCTCTGTTTTATTTCATTTAACATAATTCCCTCTAATTCTAACTACATTGCAACAAACTTCATGCTTTTATTTTTTCTTACAACTGCTTATTATTCCATTTTGTATATATGTCACAAATTCTTTATTCTTCACTATTGGGTATTTGGGTTCTTTCCATACCCTGTCTATTATACTAAAGTGCAGCAATTAACTTTGTTTTCATATAAATGTTTTTCTGTTCTGATAGTAGATGAATAGAAGTCACTGGCTTGTGTGGGACTTCTGTTTCCATAGAGGTTGTGCCTGATGACATACCTATCAACAGTGAATGAGGGTTAATTTTTTAGCACATACCTATCAATATAATAGTTTCTAATCTTTTTGATATATACCATCTCACTGTTGTGAGATGCTATCTCAGTTGTATTGATTTGAATTTCCCTAATGACCAGTAATGATAAGCACTTTTCATGTGCATACTAGCCATCTGTTTGCCTTCTTTGAACAAGAGTCTGTAGATCTCTTCTCCCCCCTTTTGGGTGGGTTTATTGGATTGTTTGTTGTTGAGCTTTGTGAGTGCTTCATTTGTCTTGGTTATTAACTATTTATTTGATGTATTGTGTGCAAATATTTTGTTCCATTCAGTAGGGCGTCTTATTTTGGCTTGGGTTTACTTTACTACATAACATATTTTTAATTTACTGTAAACCCAGTTTTTTATTTTTGTATTTTTCTTTTTTAACTAAGATTTTTATATGTTAATAATGAAAGCTTTATTATATACCAGTAACAATATTATTTTAGCTTCAATTTTACATTAGCAACAAAAAACACAAAACCCATAGAAAAACTCTCATAACCATATACATGGAATTTACTCTGAGTTTTTTTCTTTTTTTTTGTATTTTTTTTCTTTTCCTCTGGAGTCAAATCATTGAAGATCCTTCTAAGGTCTATTTCCAGTAGGGTTCCTCCTCCTCCTCCTCCTCCTCCTCCTCCTCCTCCTCCTCCTCCTCCTCCTCCTCTTCCTGGCAGGCTTGGGGGACCATATAGGATGCCAGGGATTGAAACTGGGTCGGTCAAGCACCCTACCTAGTCACTGCACTATTGCTCGGGTCCTCCTTCAGTTTTTTTAGCATGTAATTATCCAGTTTTCCCATGAGAATTTCTAAAGAGAATTTTTTTGCTGCATTTCATGTACGTAGACTAACTAACTGTACATAAATTCAGGGGTTTATCTCAGAACTCTATTCTTGTTTCAATGGTCTGCAAGTCTATCTTTACTCAAGTAACATAGTTTTGACTGTAATGGCTTTATAGTACAAGTCAAAGTCAGGGAACACAATATTTCCATCTTCTTTTTATTAGAATTACTTTTGCTATTCAAGGAGTTTTATGGTTCCATATAAATTTTTAATTGGGTTTGTTCCAAGTTGTTGAGGAATGTCTTTGAAATTTAAATGTCTATAACATCAAATCTGTATAATGCTTTGGGTGACATAGTTGTTTTAACAGTGTTAATGTTAACTCTTCCGATCTGTGAATATGGGATTTTTTTTTTCATTTCCTGGTGTCATCTTCTATTTCTCTCAGTAGTGCCTTATAACATTGTCCGACTGAAACCCAATCATGAACAGCTTTGTGTCTCTACCAACAGTGATTAAATAAAATTAAAAAATTAATATTAAAAATAATGCCTTATAGTTTTCTCTGTATGGGTCTTCCAACTTTTAATTTCTAGATATTTGATGATTTTGGACATTATTTGGAAAGGGGTTATCTTTTCAAATTCTTTATTTTCTAGTTATTTACATGCATAAATGCAGCAAATGTTTTGTGTGTTAAATTTTTAGCCTACTACTTTGCTGTATTGTTGAAGTGTTTTGGAAAGTCTTTTTGGAATCAAGTCTTCCTCTTGATTCTATGTATATTTAATATGTCATCTGCAAATAGTGATAGATTAACTTCTTTTCCATTTGGATTTCTTTGATTTCTTTTTCATGTCAGTTTTCTGTGACAAGAACTTTCAAAACTATATTGAATCAAAGTGGAGAAAGTGGAGAACCCTGCTTTGGGCTGATTTCAGGGGGAGGATTTCAGTTTTTCACCAATGAGTATGATAATGACTTGGGTTTGTGTAGATGGCACCTTTGTAGGAATGTTACTCCTATCCCTATTTTTGAGATTTTTTTTAAATCATGAATGGATATTTAATCTTATTGAAAAGCCTTCTCTGCATAAGTTAATATAACACGTATTTATCTTTTCTTTTGTTGATCTGATATATCAAAATTAATTTATTTGCACATACTGAATCATCCTTGCATCCCTGTGACAAAACTCATTTGATCCTTTGTATGATACTTCTGATATATTGTTGTTTTCAGTTCCCTGAAATTTAATTGAGGATTTTTCCCTTGATGTTCATAGAATTATCAGTCCATAATTTTTTTCTTAGTAATATATTTGTCTGTTTGGGGTAGTAGGGTGATGTTGGATTTATATAAGCTATTAGGAAGAATTATTGTTTCTTGAAAATTTTAGAGGCGTATGATAAGTATAGAATATGTAAAGGTAAAAAAGGTAAAGGCCCTCCCGTTGATCGTCGATTTGCTCAAGCGGGCCCAGTAACGTCTCCATTGGAGACTTTGTTGTTACTGTGTCTGGCATATCGAATACTCTCGGTAGCTTGCCGGGCTCTCCGAGAGGGGCGGAGGAATCGAACTTGGGTCAGCCATGTTGGCCGCTTGTAAGGCGAACACCCTACCTGCTGTGCTATCACTCCAGCCCTATAGAATATGTGTCTATAGACCATAGAATATGTGTCTTCTTTAAAGATTTGGTAGAACTAATTTGTGAACTCTTGTGGACCATTCTCTTATTCCTTGGGAGATTTTAAATTACTGTTTTAATTTAGTTATTCATTATTTGTCTCTTCAGGTTTAATATTTCTTCTTGATTCATTCTTGGAAGACTGTATGATTCTAAAAACTCATCCTTTTCAGGTTCTTTAACTTGGAGGTATAATGTTATTCATAATAACCTTTTAATGATCTTTGTATTTTTGAAGTGTTGTAATTTCTCCCCTTTCATCTTTGATCCTTTTTATTTCAGTTTTATCTCTACTTATATTTGTTAAGCTAGCTAAGTGTTTGTCAGTATTTATTCTTTAAAAGAACAGTTCCTGGTTTTATTGACCCTTCAAATTGTGTTTTTGATTTTTATATGATTGGTTTCCACTCTAATTTTTTTATTATCTCCTTCTTTCTTCTTATTTTGGGATTCATGTATTGCTCTTTTTCTTGTTTCTCTAGTACTGAAGTTTGGTCATTGATTTGGGCTTTTTTCTGACATAAGCCTGTATTGCTACTAACTTCCTCCTTTTTACTGCTTTTACTGTGCCCCACAGGTTCTGATAGTTTCTAATTCATTCTCATTTGTTTTAGAAAATCCTTGTATTTATTCTTTGGATTCTTCCTTTATCCAATTGTTATTTAGCACATTGAATCTGGCACTTATCATTGGTGGTTCACATTTGAATTTGGTTTAATTAACACAAATTGCAGCACTATTGTTAATGTTTCAACAGAATGCTCTTCTGTTA